CAGTAACCGAGAGGAGCGATGCTTAATAGCTGATGGATTTTGCTGCTTCATTCCAATGCATGGCTGGCATTGGAACCTCCTTCAAGCAAAAAGCATAGCCCTGTCTGCGGGGTGGAATTTTACTGCACAACAGCCAGACACAGAAGTGACCTTGTGCTCCCCACTCCGTTGATGATTGGGGCAGAGGGATGTCACAGAAGCGATGATTGTGCTCATTGAAAAGGGGGTCAGAAGGTTGCCACCTCTCCTTTCAAGCAGCATCTGGTAGAAAATTTTCCGCCTAATATTGTCAATCATTCCCTTGTTCTTGAAGGTGCCTGACTGTCCTCCCAGCTGGAGTGAGAACTTCAGTGATCGCTATAAAGCAAAACAAATGCAAAGTTTAGAATGGGGGTGTGGAGAAGGCAGGTTCCCAAAGAAAGAAGTTGGCAGGGTCTCAAATGCCTGGGATTATGAGAGAAGTGGAATGCACGTGATTAGTGCACGTGCTGGTCTGAATACTAAGGCTCAAACAAATAGATTTGTTGCACACTAAAAAATGAGAAGTGACTACTTGAGCAGGTTGTGTTTTGAAAAATGTGATTAAGTGAGCAGAAAATTGAGGGCTTCTTAGCACCAATTGGTGCTAGGCTTTTTTAAAGGCAAGGGAGTGAAGCATAGCATTGGTCTGGGGAGGAGGTGGGAGCAGAGGGGATCTTGCCTCTAGTGATAAGAAAAAGCTGGCATTAACAGACAAAACTATTCAGAGACTGAGGAAAATAAACCAAGAAATGCATTCTTTCTTTATGGTTGGGGGGGGGGGCGGGGGCCCGCAGGGGAAGGGCGGAAGAAGAAGAAATCAGAATGCCAAGGTGAGGATTACAGGCAGTCCAGCAAAATACACTGTGGAATGTCTGCACATTGCTGCTGTCAGCCCTGCTCAAGCACACCCTTACCAGTGTCTGTGCAGCAAGTAGTGCTTGGTGCTGCTGGCTGATGGCCCTGATGGAAACAGGTCTGGGACCAGCAGATGAGGTGGTAACACAACAGTGCCTTCCTGAAGCCTTGAGGAGGAACTTGTGGTTTTCCAAGCAGAATAGATTCCCCAGCTTTGTGTCAGGCAAGCTTTGCTTGCAGTCATGATCAGGGTATAAAGTAGCAGAAGCTGAATAAAGCAAAATGTCAAATATTTTAGTAAATAATTATATAAGAAGAATACTTAGGTAAAAGGTGGACTCTATAAAATGTATGTTACAAGTATATATAATAAGAAAACTCCACTGGACTTTGATCAGTATAGACTACTTGTGTTGGTGCCAGGGAAAATCAGAATTTTCCTGTGGCTAGTGCATAGGGCTGCCCACTGGATTTACTGGAGGAAATTAAATGACTATTATTCAGTACAGCCTGAAAGCTGATGCTTGTAATTGACTTCTGCAGATAATTCTAGAATAACTTCTGGAGGAAAGATACCTGTTGATGGAACTGTTTTTCATGGCTTTCTGTGGTGAGATACTCACTACTTCCTTTGGAAATGTGAACCGATTGCTAAGATTTGAGGCACAGAAGCATCTGAAACATTTCTTCTGTTTTGGAAAGCTGTGTACATGAAGAGAGTGTCAATGTGCACATTAACTTTTAATAAGCTAGGAAATCATTGACATGTAAACAGTTACTGCTATGGCCAGAGCCTGCAGTTCTGTCAGAGGCATATTATGCTGTAGTCCAGTCAGCAGATTACTGTTTAGTTAAGTGTTACCATATTATCCTGTGTATCACAAGGATTTTACTAGGTGGCAGGATGTGGCTATGGGCCAGAATTGTTCAGCAGTTCATCTCAAGTGCTAAGACTGAGTCTGAAGGGAAAAAAATGTAATGGGCAATAGCGGATTATGGTTTGTGTTTGCCTCTTTCCTGTCTGTGAATGTAGCAGGGTAAAGATATTGCAGAGTCCCGTATCTAGGGCTTGCTGTCCTTTGAAAAACTTTCTTCAGAAGTTAACTCCTGTGGGAAGTGCTGAAAGGGCAATTCAGGTTCAGCTTCAGTTCTATTCATGCTGCAAGTCAGACAGACTGGAAGAAATTGAACATTTCAGTCATTTCTATCGTTTGTATCAAGTACTGTAAGAGAAGTTATTCCTACTACCGCTCTAACCTGGCCCGCCTGGGAAGTGCTAGAAGTCTTTTAACCGATCTGTTACAGAGTTGTCAACACTGGCTTCTTGTCTCATGTGCTAACCCAGCAGGAGTAAAAAGCATTAGCAGCTCAGCTGACTGATCAAAAGTCAGTGTTCTTTGAGCCCCTTCTTGGGATTGCCCTGCCTGTCTGCCCAGTGAACTCTGGACTTCCTTTTCCCTCCTAATCCCTAAAGTATTTTGCCTCCTCTTCCCCCACGGGGATTTGGTGACACTCTTCCCCTTTACCCTGCCCCGTGTTTCCAGGGTTTGTCTGCATTCCTGCTGTGCCTTGAGAGAGCTGCAGGACCATCGCCTATGGAGTCCTGAGAGGAGGAGGTGGTGTGCTGGACGATGGAGCAACCTCTGCACAAGGAGAAACACCACATCTGGCAGGCAGGCAGGCAGGCCTGGTCTTTGCTGTGTATCCCTAAGGACTTTTCTCTCTTCTGCCACTATGCTCCCAAAACAGAACCTGGTTAGTAACTGTAGAAACAACTGTTGCAGAACAAACAACTGAAAGGCTGATTGTTGGTTAACAATCCTTTGTGCTCATGCACTGAAACATCTCAGCGAGAGGCATCAGGTCAGCCGTGCCTTGGAAGTAAGCTGACCAGAGGTCTGAGTGCAAAGTGCACGTACAGGCTGACTGTGAGGTTTCACTGAAGTTAACAGAGATGTTTGTGCAAGCCTAGCTATATAAACTTTTTACATGAGATTCTATGGGCTCTGTGCTATTACTTGGGGTGTTCCTGCTAGCACATGTCATCCAGTTTTGAGATAATGCATTTGGTTTATCTATCATCTCTTATTTTTTATTCTGCTTTTGCTACAATTAAAAGATACAGACCTTGGAAAAACTCAGTGAAGTCTTTCAGGATCCACCCTAGTACATACCAGGTAGGAACAAGACCTTCAGTAACACAGTAATAGTTTAGATAACTGAACATAGGCCACTGCAGAAGATCAAAATTAGATTGTGGTGCTATTCAAATGATTTTAGGATCTTTGAAATACTTTGAATACTGTGAGGTAATGAAATGATTCTGTCTCTAGAGACCTATGCCTTTGAGGCACAAGCATGAAGGCACTGAGAGTGCCATTTAAAATCATGGTGGAATCTACAATTTAAGGCAAACCTTAAGTGTAATTTTCATCGTATCTTCAACACAGAAATAAAGCTCTGAAGTGTTGGCCCTGTTTTTTTTTTTCTCCACAATTCTGTCCTTCCATCGTTACCGTCATAAAACCAGGGCAGACCCTCTCAACAGGTGCCATGTCTGCTGTGACAGCTGCAGCCACACGTGATGCTTCAGGAGGATGAATTGCCACTGGGGCTGGTGGCAGCACACCACAGCTGTGTGCTGTTCTTCAGCAAGGTCGGCTGAGCCGGCACTGCACAGCCAATAAGGTTGGAAAGCCCAGAAGTGTGGGAAAGCCCACGCTTTGCAGCGTGTGGGGAAGTGCTATGGGAAAACCAGGTACAGTAGGATTTGCTAGTGAATCTGTTACAGATCTTGTCCAGAAATACGTTGTCTCTGAAAACCTGGGAAAGAGGCTGTTTTGTGAAGCCAGGTGGAGAAAATTGAAACAACTTCCCTAGTTAGACAGGAAAAGCATTTTCATTATTTCTGTAAGAATGGTAACTGTATTATCTATAATTTCCTGCCTGCACTGTGTGTCGTATTCCAAAGTGAATAAAAATCATTGTGTTAATTTGTCACTGTCAAAAGTAGTCGTGGAGGCTGGGTTCCATGCTGGTACATTATTTGTGCATGTGGCACGTGAATGTTTCTGTACAGCAAAATGCATGTGGGGACGGGTACTAAACACAGCAAATGGAATTACTGTAATTTGCTTGTAAATGGGAGAGAATATATATATGTAGATATATGTGGCGCAGAAATAGCAAGCAAATAAGACTCAAAACTTAGTCCAAGAAGAAATGGTGAGGAAAAGGATGAAACAATTCTAATCATAATTTAATAGGGTACGTCAGTAAGTGGTAGAGAAGCCTGTAGAAAACGTCAGTAGTTACTGCAATGTCACGAAACTCTCCGTTTTGAAACATTTCTTTCTAAAGTCTCTTTCGTGTCCCAAGGTTCAGTTCCTGCATTTCAGACGCGCGCGGGGAGAGGTGCGCTCCCGTCACCGCCGCCCAGGCCCGAGCCGCCCCAGCTCCGTCCCACACACCGAGGGCTGCCGCTCCCCCCGGCTGCGGGCGGTGCCGGGGCCGGGCCGGGCCGCAGCAGGTGGGCGGCGGGCGGCTGCGGCGCTACGCACGGGAACCCGCCCGCGGCTCCGGGCAGCGCGGCCCCGCGGACGGCGGGAATCCAGTCCGGGTTTTGGTGCCGGGGACCGGCGGCGGCGGGGAAGGGCCGGCGGGAGCGGAGCCCGCACCGCGCCCGACAGCCGGGCCGGCCGGGCAGGGCAGGGCAGGGCGGCGCGCCGGACGGGGGCGGGGGGCCGCGGGGCGCCCGCGCCGGCCCCGGATCCGCCCCCCCCCCCCCGCGCCCTGGGCCCCCAT